ATCATATCTCCGTGCTAACAATTTGTTTCTTTACTTGAGACAAATTAAACAGTGTCCTTCTCCTTTGCTGGAGTGTGACAGTTTGAAGTTTTGTTTTGTTAGGCGATAAAAATGCAGACTTGTTAAATGCTGATCATTTTAGACTGAAATTTTAACTCCTTCATCAATATTTTAAACCACTGGGTAGAAAATGCAGTGAGTTTTTCTGGCTGATAAGAAAATCAGCCCAGAAATATTTGATGAGTGCTCTCAAAAAAAAAAAAAAAATAAGATTAAATGTTAAAAATAATTTTAGAAAAGGAAAGAACAGCCAGAACCTGCCTGGCAAGCACAAGGTCCTGAGATCAATTACTGAAAAAAAAAAAAAAAAAATGTTTGCCAAACAATGGCACTGGTAGAGAAAAATTAAGCTCTGCATAATTTCTCTTTCCATTTTTGTTCTATATGGTAATATGCTCTGCCTTTTTCATGTTGAATGAACTGCATAAAAGACTGGTAAAGTTCTGTGATTATGAGAGCAGAAAACCTTGCATGCAAATATCTTATTCCTAGGATGAACACTAAGCTCACAGGTGCTAATAAGTCACGGGTGAGGCTCCTGCTAGGCAAAGGCTTTCTAGACCACAGTCTAGAAACAGAGCCTGACTTGCAGCTTAGTATGTACCACGCAGTGTGCCGCTACCACCAAGGCTGCACGTATTCAGCTCGTGTAAATTAGGCATTCCAGAAGTGACAATGCTTGACAACCAAAGGCATAAAATAGTAAACAATTAACAATCAAAATAAAGAAACAGCTGTTAGTTTCTTTTTATATAAAATTATATCTAATTTACAATAAATGCCAATTAAAATTATTAACCAATATACATAAATCTCCTCTGCCTCACTGTCAAAATCTATGTAGATTCTTTAAGATTTTTGAAGGGATTCTTAAAAGCTTCCTTTTTTTTCTTTAAGATTTTTGAAGGGATTCTTAAAGGCTTCCTTTTTTTCTTTAAAAAAAAAATCTCAATCATGAATCAGTAAATCTTTGCGTATCCTGTTTCTTTCTTCTCTGCAAAAATAACGGTATTATCCCAGTGGAACCAGAGGGCATTAGGAGCAAGAGCTGTGCCGCTGTGCTCACGGTTATTTCCACTAAATCTAATGATCACAAAAACTCAGTGGAACTTGATCTTACAATCATCAATAATCTCTCAGATTAGCATGTTAAAAGCTTTAAAGTACAGAGGTGACAAAATGTAATTTTAAAAGCAGTGACTTCTCATTTGCTTGTTCAGAGAAAGGATTAAGTACTAGATGAATAACTGTCAACTGAAACCTAGAAATGTCACTGTTACTAATGCATTCTAATGACTTGCTGTATATACTCCTTCTACCAAGAGAACAACCCATTTTGTTTCTTCTTTATTACCACTGCCTTCATCTTTGAAATTATTTCAATGTAAGCGATAGGAGGTTCAATTTTAAGAGGTGATTTGTGATGGTCTGAGATACTAACCAACCCACATTTCACTTACTGCTATATATGTCAGCTCTTTAGGTTTTCTGTTAGCATGAGAGAAGTTACTAAAACCTTGCTTTAGTGACCCACGGTGCTCAGCCAGTTAACCAAGTAGTTAAACCCTCATTATTTACAGTAGAAGAAAATGCATTCTTTTTGCCAATTCCACATTAAGAGCATAACTTTTTGGATTTAAAATTACACCATTTCTTTGAACTGTTTGTCTCCCTTTACATCAACACTATGAAAACGTTATTCCTACAAGAACAGTGTTTTATGCAGCTAACAAAGATTTACTGAGTGTCTGCTGTTTGCTCAGTGTTACGCATGGAGCTGAGAATATAGAATAAGCTTCAGTTCATCCCCAGAAAGCTGTGTCCAGGACAGATCCACAGAGACACTCAATTATGGTGCTGGGGGTTACTCAGTGTCAGCCCAAGCTGCCACGGGAGCAGACAGAAGGGTGCGGTACTCCTCCGGGAGGCTCAGGAGAGGATGTCCTGGGTGGCTGGACTTAATTCTAAGTGATGACAAACGGTCCTCAGTAGCACAAGGCGGGTAAGGGAGAGAGCACAGGAATGCACAGGGCAGGCAGTGTGACCTTGACACTGCAGAGTGTGTAGTGCTTATAAGCACAGACTGCCCAGGGTCCACCTTGGGAAATGACTTAACCTCCTGTGCCTCAGTTTACCCATCCATAGAAAGAGCATACTGTGGACATCTACAAAGGATTGCTACGAAGATAAATGAGTATTTTTTATGAAGCATGTAGTGAGAGTGACTTAAATGTCTGCTGTCACCGAGTGAGAGTACAGGGCTCTTGTTGGCAGAAGAGAAGGTCATGGAAGGCAAGGATGAGCCCGAGATGAGTTCCGGGTCGTGGCCTGTAGTGAACATGTGATCAGTGACCTGTGGTTAGTTTACGGCTTTCAGAAAGACGCGTCATCATGCGGAGGCTGCAGTGGGTTGCAATGTGAAGCCAGGAGATGAACGAGGGGGTCCAGAGTGAGCCTGAGCCCAGGCAAGGGGCGGGGAACGGAGAGAAAGGGGTGCACGCAGAGACCCGGTGGAGACAGGGTGGTGGAGAGCTGGAAAGCACAGGTGGTGGGTGAGGACAGCGCTGGCCCTGGGACCAGGTGACAAAATGCTACCCTTGGTCCTGGGGGAAAGAGAAGGCTTACCATTTCAGTCTTCCAGAGTTTACAGGCACATGGTAAGTGCAACAACACTTCCCCCGCAAGGCGATCACTCTTTTACAAGTTGCAATGACTTGATTCTTGAGGAACACCACAAAGGCTCAAAGGTATTTAATTCCACTGCAGGGTCTCACCCCTTGGCCTCAGAGTTTACGGCTCTAGCTGAGACCTTGAATTTCAATCATGATAACTCAACATGCGGAAGGTCTCTTTTGGCCAGATAGCTTTAGTTTTCATTTTGAAAATGAAGAGACATTCTGGCTGGCCTCATTTCCCCCTGGTGCCATGTGCCTCTCTGACATCAGCACACTTATATTCGGCTTCAGACACATGACACTTTGGGCACGAGACAGAAGGGGGATACAGCTGAGCTCATGGGCAGGACATGACAGCTAAGCGCAAGGGCAATGGCATCTGGAACAGATGCTCCTTAGAACTGAGAAAGGGCTACTTCCACTAGTGTTGAAACACAGGTAAGTAAATTATTTTACAATGCAAAAAAAATATGCTCATGGCTCCAAGATATAATCAAGCTACTATTTATAATCATGAAGATGGCCCACTTGGGTGTCTTTGTTTCCTTCTATTTTTGAATTAGAAGAGTCTTGTGCCTATGCCAGAGGTCTACGGTAGGGTCAGCATTTGTTCAACGCTTAAGATTTGGTTAGTTTAATGATGCTATAGCCGATACGTGGCAAACTTCTATGCTTACAAGATTGTCTTCTATATCCCTGGAGGACCATTAAACATAGCAGGCCACCAGGGAATTGACAATGACAGCAGAAATGAACAACCAAACACATTTTAGTTTCAATATAGAATTCTGAAGCATTCTAACCTGGGAAGCAGTAACACAAGACCATTTCTAGGAAAGCTACGTAACCCATGGTTTTTCCAGCTTTTCCAGCTTTCATCTTCACTATTGATCGTTCCTAGCATACTGGCTGAGCAGCGAGGTAGCAGGTAAAATATCATAACATCTAAACAATTCTCTTCCCATTGTGCATTGGTCTTTGCGACCACTCAATTCTTAGTCCCAGTCATTGTCTCTACCCATAGCGTTTGGCAGAGATCTTAATCCAGGAATCCTCGAGTTGGATTTGATCTTGTTCTCTAATGCTCAGGCTATAAACCACGCAGTAGTTTTGAAGAGGAAAACTAAGCGTTTCATTTCAATGTCCAGAAAATATTACCTTTGAGTCTACTCACTAACTTGACTCTACCTATATTTCGAAAGGTGTAGAAAATAGAGAGGTAGGCCTGCTGGTCTTGTTGGCTAATGCACTGTACGGTTCTAATACTGTTTCTGCCTCATTCACTGACTTCATGAAGAACCAACATTCTGAGGACAGAAACACTACCCTCACATGGATAGATTCATAAATATTTTTTTTGTTTGTATTCCTGTTTTTCTTTTCTCATAATTAGCAGGCCATTATATTTGGCCTTGAAAAATATTTTAATTAGGTTGTCCATAGATATTTCAATAAACTTGAATTTTTTGACATTTCAAACATCATCTTGCGCATTCATGCCTGCCGCCTACTATTTTAAATGTATAGCGTGTTCCAGCTGCAGAAATTACCATGGTTACTTGCTATGCCAATAATGAACTACAGTTGGCACTTGAAAGTATTGTTCTATCCTGCCTCTGCATTGAAACTGACATCAATATCTGAATAATTGCAATATTATGAATTAATGTGGAATCCTTGAAAATGTCTGTGAAACAATTGGTAACAGTGTCAGAAGTTTTTAAGAGCTGAAATATATTTAAGGGTTTTTGGGTGGGTTATATTATACTGATGCTCCTGGAGACCTCATTTTAATGCTAAATGCAGTGTAATTGCTAGTGTTGTTAAATGGTTGCGGTCTTTCTCTCTCCTTTCATTTATGTTCTCTCCTTTAGAACTGTATAAGACTTCAGGCGGAAAATGATGCATATTCTATGTGAAGTGAGAGACATACAGAATATGCCTTGCTAAAGGTACTCATGTCTAGAGTACCTTTAGCGATGTCTAGGCAAGGAATTTGGCATTAAGTTGATATGATTAGACTCAATTTTCTGCTGCCCAGCTGAAGTTTTATTAAGGAAGGTTCTAGTTAATAAATAGTTTTCTTTTAAGTTATTATTTAACTACTCCAGCTTCAAAAAGTGCTTTAGAAATTCTTGGGGCCATTGTTGCGCGCCTGTCATAGACCTCGCCACTTTATTTTTTTTCAAAAGACTTACTTCCCGGAAATCACCCAGCGGAGCACTGGATAATGATACCCACTGCAGCACAGAGGCCTGCACTTACCTGCGCTGGTGCCCGCACCGGATGTAAGGTCTCCACCCATCAGACCACCTAGAGAGTAAAGAGGGACATCAAAAGGCGGAAGGCTAAAGGCCTACAGAACAAAACACTTTACCTCCAGCAACCTCAGCACTGTGTCCTCTCCCGAGAGTCATCAACTTGTAAAGTACTACCCAAGTCAGATGGCTGACATTTGTTTTATTGTGACATGCTGTGTTCAAATGTTAAAAATACATTCAATCACTGACATTTTGCACCATCTTTTTTTTTTTCCAGGAAAGATTACATTTTAAAAACCCAGTCTTTGAATAGTCTCTGCATTTTTATTATTTCTAAGTCTAGGTCTTTCCTAAACAGATGCTTCATAGAAAGTTTAAAAAGGTCCACTACTGGTATATGTTCTGATACCACTCGTGCCTTTATATTTTGTACCATCAATTTTGTATAACGCTAGCTGTACAAAATTTTTATCATTTCCTAAATCTGCCCATATTCACTGTTTGAATTTTACTTCCTGACACAGTAAACAAGTTTTTGCTGCCACAAATTCAGACATATGCTTATTCACTGCTAATTTAAGAAAGTTCATTAAAATTTGGCAATGTTTATTTATGAGAGTTGGGATGTTTCAATAAGATGTTAAGCATAATAATTAGTTTTAATTTCTAATGAAACAAGATTTAGCCAAAAATAGTGGGAATATCATCTAGATTTTCTAATTGACTCGAAGTAATACTTTATCATTATTAGTTGGTTCATGTCTCAGTACTAGAAGAAATTACACGTTCAGAAAATATTTATTATTTTCCATCAAATACTGTTTTGGAAATGAAATACCAAAGTTTAAAAATGAGCTTGAGTTTATCAAGCAGGAAGTCCAACTGCATTTGAATATAACCCAAAAGAATACATGCATTGAAAATTCATATGAAAAACTTCAAACATGTTTTAAAAATGGAGAGAATGGCACAATGAAGTCCTTTGTACACATTTCCCAAAGTCAAGATTTATAAAGCTTTCTACCGGAAAAATTCTTCCCTGAATAAACTGCTTTTAATATAGCTGTGTGTGCTTAAGGTATATTAAAAATTTCCTATGGTGTGGGTTTCTTCAAAATAAAATATAAATACATAATGGTGTACTGTACATGATTTAGAAATACAATTATTTTTGATGCCACTTCTGGAAGGATAAAGGAATAATATAGTTATATTCAATATACATTGAATTAGGTCCCACTGTGAGCCTGGTAAATCAAGAGCGTATTCTTCCCTCTAAGATCCTTTACATACATTGAAGAAGCAGACACATATTCAATACAGTATATCACAATGTATTTAGCTTGATCTGAGTAGTCAGAATGGTTGGACTTTTGTGAGCAATAATTTTATTTTTCTAGTACATTGTAAATTGAACAATAGGAAAGACCTGCTAAAAACACAGACAGATTTGTGCCACATGTACATGAGCTTATGATGTGCTCTTCATTTCTGACTTTGATTTGATTTCACACTTATAAATCATGTTATTCTAGTTCCTTTTCACCTTCAATCCTTTCTGGGAGAAGTTATTGTATAAATAAGTAAGAACTGATTGTAATAACAAGTAACTGAGTGGGACAAATGCTATCAGAGAACACACAGTAAAGGTAGTATCTAGTAGAAGAAGGGGGAAACAGCAGTTCAAGCAGGGGGAGTGCAGAAGCCAAAATGCGTTTGGACGGGATCTGTGACATCTTGTTTGGAAAAGCATGTGGTGCAAAGATAGCTACAGGAGATGCGTTACAGTCTGAAAAGACAAATTACTGATCAGGAAAGATTCTGAAACATGTGCTAATGGATTTAGGCTTTATCACAGAACAGCCCTAACAGTGAGTAAAGGTTAAGCAATGAAGGAGACCGAATTGGATACCAAAAAGTACCTCATGGATACTCAGCCTTGGCTTTGGCCAAAGCTACTTCTTTCCTCGTCATGACTTGTGACAGCTGGAGCCCTCTGAGCACATACCTGTGTTGCCTGCACTTGGAGGTCGATGTGTCACGCCAGGAGACATGCTATTCCTCTGCAGAGACGGGTGGGCCAGAGGCAGAAGGTTGGGGTTTCCCAGGGAGCTGACAGGGTTGCTGTACACCAGGCTGTTGTGACTGGATACTGGGATGGAGACGGGCATCTCGAAGTTGGGAGGTGGAACGGCCTGGCAGAAGAGAAAAAAGGGAAAAATCCCCCAAAAATGTAGATAAGAGAAATGAACAATAACAGCAGCTTTCAAGGACAGTCAGTGTTTACTTTCCCAAAAACCTTACAAACTTCAAACTGCTGGGTGTGTAGAAGGCCATTAAAAAGGGCTCTCGATATGCGAGGATCATAAATTGATTTCTTTAATGTGCTTGGAACTCTGTCTTTGCAACTATTAGAGAAGGTTTCACTTTGGCTTCAAACAAAGCCCCATTTCATCAGGCTCCATTGTCTTTGAATTTCATTCTATTAAGTAATAATTGTGCATTTGTGATATCTGAATCTGGTGCCAGAAATGACTGCAAGATCAAAGGTTCATGATTGTGATGACTTCATGTAGAGAAAGGAGGATTAAAATGCAAACCAGATCTTTGGGTTTAATTGCTTATTGAAGCATATTTATGCAGAAGTTTAATGATACAAAATCATCTCCAGGCATGTGAATAGTACATATAGTTTAATTATTCTTTTAAAAAGTCTGCCTTTTAAAAGTAACTCTAAAGGTAACAGGCATTTTGAGAACCAGATTTCAACAAGGCACATATCATTCAATAACTCATATTTTAAAATGATGGCTCAGAAAAGCGTTTTCTGCTTCACATTTTGGTATGTCAATGAATGGAAAGATCTGTATCTGAAATGAGAGTTGGCAAATATTTAGTGAATTGTAACTGTGCGGATGTCTACAGTAATCTAAGTCCCTCTTAATGATTTTGGGGAGTATTATTTTGACAACCCAAACCATGTTTCTGCTTGTACTAACTAGCTGTAAACACCTCTCTCTCTCTCTCTCTCTCTCCCTTCCCCTGTCCCCTCTACCTCCCCACACCAGCATTATAAGTTAAAATATCATTTGAATACATTAACAGGGGACTCATGGTATCAGAGCATATAGCATTTTAAATATAAAACTACACACACACTCACAGGATTTATAGGTCATGAAAGTTCAAATGCCTGTGTACATATAGTTGGTTTGTTATTGCTTTATTCTTTATTATTTTTTTAGGACTAACATCAACTACCTGTGACTGGTCGATTGGCTGGCCTGCATTCTACATCATGTTCTGTGGCTCTTCTAGGTCTACACTGGTGATGATTAGAATGTTGTTCTCTGTTTATGTTTAGGTTCCCATGGTCTTCATTCCCTATTTATCTTTTCTTCCATGTTCTATAAATGTCAGTATGGATGAGAGCAAATGTTTTCATCTTATATGTCTTTGATTCTTCATTACTTTTGAGGGAAACAGCAGTGTTCAAGTGCTATGTTAATACAGACATTCTTTCTTAGGTCCCTCGTATGGAAACAGGCTAACAATGGATGAACACCATGACATAGTGGAATATAAATGTTTGGTAGATGACAAAGCTTGACCATATCTCCAAATTTCCTGAGGCCCTTTAAAGAACAAAAACTAAGGTAGCGTATGCTATAAAGGAAGTGTCTACAGATTGCATGAAACATTACAATCTTCATTAAAGGTCCACTAAAAATGGTTCCTGCACACCTAGGTCAGCGTGGTGCAGTGGTGGACCAGGGTCTTCCTTGGGTCCCTCCAACTCACTCTCTGTCCTCTTCACTCTGGGCCCAGGAGCCAACCCCTGAAGGCATCAGTTAGGCCCTGACCTCTGCCTTCAGGGGAGCCAGTGGCACCACCAGCAGCACAGACAGTGGAGAGGAGAGGTCAGGGATTTGCTTTTTCTGCAGTAATATCCCTCATGCTGGGCCACAGCTGTGCTGGCAGAAACTCTTTATTTTCCTTGGGAGGAGAAAGTTTAGGAAGATACTACACTAATACAAAAATACGAGCTTACCACTTACTGTATATTATTTATGCATTCCTCCACGAAGGTCACACTTCTTTTGGGTCAGCCTCTCCTACAGGCACAGGCCTTGCTGTGCTCAGATACTTTCTCCCTCCCCTTGTTCCTTCGGGCCTAAAGCTCACAGCAGCGTCTAGGTTGCAAGCCCTGGTGTGCTACACTACTGTCTCAGGCTGCCTGAAACTCTACCCATCTGTACACAGTCCTTTTAGTGAGCTCTTAACAAGCTTTCCTCAGTTACCCTTGGGAGTTTGCCACCTCTTTCTTACTAGGACCCTGGGACACAGTAGTACTGTTCTAGGCCGAAAAGATAGTACACTTCAGGGGCGGGAGCATTTTGGGAGTTTGCTGTCTCTGGTGTTACAACGAGAGTGTATGTGTCGGGGGGTAGATAACACTCTGGTTCTAGGATCATCACCTCTCACCTGAATCATTGTAGTCACTGCCTCAGAATTTCCCCGTCCCATCCTTGTTCTCTTTTTTATTTCCAACCTACTCATCAGCTTCTAGTTTTAAAAGCATAAATCAGATGATGACACAGCTATGCTCAAAACCCTAGGAGAGCTCTCATCTCACTGAGAGCTTCTTCCCATGGCTCCATGCCCTGTAAGTTCCGTTTTTACCAACTTCCATTATCCCATCCCTGTCACCCTGTTCCTTCCTCCTTTATTCTTGAGCCACTGCCATGGTGACCTCCATCACTTCCTCCAAATCAGTGCTCAGAACTCTCCCTTCTCAGAGAAGCCAACCCTGATTACCCTGCTTAATTCTGCGACTTGAATCTCTCCTTTCCCATCTCCTGATCTCTCTCCCCTGCTCTCCCTCCTGGCTCTCATAAAATCAGTTAAGACATCCTCTTTCACCAAAGAGCTTAAGCTCTCTAAGGCAATGCAAAGCCTACTCTACTCTAAATTTTCCTTCGGAGGAGAAATCGTAGGAAGATACCACACTAATACAAAAATACAAGCTTACTATTTACTGTACATTATTCATCCTGCAGGCACCCGGCTGCATAATTTGTGTATACATGATGTGATTGATTGACCCCCTTCAACATCCTTTCCTCTTAGATATAATTCTTCCCCTTTCAAGTTGGTGAAATTTGGTAATGGCACAAGAGCATGTACTTAGCAACTGAGTTCATTGCTTTTGAAGTGTGGGACACAAATAAATATTGCAGTCAGAAATCATACTGCTCAGTGAATAAGAGCTACATTATTAGTCACCTAGTATTTGTGAAACATGGACTGAAGAACTAAATAGGTTTTCACGAAATCTGGGTGAGCATTCACAGTGCAGTGACTGAGGTCTTGGGCAAAAAATTAACCTTAGAGATTCCTTTTCTCCATATTTATTCAAGCAGTTGTATTTTAGATCTTTTGGTTACAAATGTTTTAATTTGTATTCACTGTTCTCAAAGATCAGATAAAGAAACTACATCTTCCCTGAAGATTTTGCAGACTGTTGGCTGTGTCTTATTAGAGAACAAATTCAATCCATTCTGGCCTCAGGGGGCTTTAAAACACTTAAGATTATTAAAAATTACGTGTCAAATTCTGAACTATCTTCCTTCCTTCCTCTAACCACCACTATTCTGCCAAATTAATTTGTTTCTTTTCTTCTGGATCATAAAGAAGTTGATGATGACTACTATAAAACTCATTTGGCAGTCAGAGATCATTCTGATAGCAGAGCATATTCCCAAAATTTCAAATTCATAAAACACGCCAACATGTTGTGCCTAGTTCCTTTCATTTTGTTTCTTTATCTGTATCAGGAATCAGCTATGATAATTTTGAAAGTAAAGTATCAGCTTAAAAATGACCATGCTGAAAAATATATTTTTGAGAATCAGTAGGAACATTCCCCTTTCTATTGGAAATCTCAGTTGCAGTCCAGGCTGTGAAATAAACTGCCATTTACCTGGGCAGGCTATTCAATCTCCCACAACCTTGATCTCCTCATCTGTGCTAGGAAATGCTTGTATCCACAAAGGGACGGACTGGGAGAATGCAAGGGTTATAGTAACATACAAACTTGGCAGGAACTTGGCATTATTATTTTTCTTCTTGACTTTTCAAAATTAGGAAACTTAAACACAGCTATGCTTAAAAAGTTTTGCCTAGAAAACATAGGCCAGGAAGTGGTTTAAAGTTCTAAACTTGCGGAGATTTCAAGGCCAAGCTCCAAATTGTTAGAATACTCAAGCCAGCAAGGGAGAATAGGAGGCGATTAAATAAAGTGCTGTAGGCAGGAATGGCTGTATAATTTGCAGAGCCCAGCTCAAAATGAAAAGGGGCTGGGCCTCTTGCTTGTTTTAACCATGAAGAATCTCAGGCCAGTGACGGAACACTGAACCAAGCACAGGCCTCTGAAGGCAGGGCTAAGTCACAAGCACAAGAGGCTGGTCCTGGGGTTATCAGCCACACACCATACTTAAAAAGCTTTTATTTCTCTCCCTAACCAAAGGGAATCGTGGTTACTGAAGTATGCCTTCATAATCAGAGGGGTATTTGAACTCTTATCCAACACCAACTGTTTTTCCCAACTTACCGCAAAGTTCAATACAAATCAAATACTACAGTTAATAAAATATGTAGCTAATGGGCCCTCTTATTTAATGTGAATGAATGAATGACTGAATGAATGGAATCTCTTTTATTTTTTTCTTTAAATTGCCACTAATGATGCCTTAGATTCAACCATCACCAGGCGGTTGAATGCTAGGAGCGGAAGTCACACGATTCTGAGGATCAGTGACTACCGCTTGCAGGTATCTATTTCCTCATGGCTCCCAGACACCTGAAAGGTCCACTTGCTCAGCCTTTTTGCAGTCTCAGCCCCTCCAGTTGTCTTCCTGGCATCTGTCTCCACCTTCCTTCCCTCTATATCTGCGTGGTTAAATGCAGCCCACCATGCGGTCACCCTAGCCTGGCTCCGGCTCCTTCCCACCTCCGCCAGGCCTGGCTTCCTCTCCATCCTGCTCTGGACATTCCCTCCTCCTGTTTTTTGAGGAGTTTCGCTATGTTCTCCCCATCACACCTGTATGCTGGATCTTTTCCTTTTTTCTAAGCATTCCCCTTCTGCATGTAAACAATCTCAAGTGCTTTTCCTCTCAGCTCCCCTTCTGAGCCGGGGCCCGGCAGTTTCTCTTCGCAGTCCGTCACTCTGAGGAACACACACACTGCCTTCCACTTCCTCCCTTCTCCTTCACTCTAACCAGTCTTGCATCTGCCTCTCCCTGTTCAGCCCATTTCCCGATTCCTGGTTCCTCAAATGGAGCTGTTTTTGCTTGCTGTGAAGCCCAGAACGAACTGTGGCAAACCCAGCGTGAGGAAATGCAGGTTGACAAGATTCCAAATCACCCGTGAGTTATTTCATGTAATTGAGGAATATGGGCATAAATTATATTACTCTAACAGGTGACTGCTATATTAAATTTTCTATTTTAAAAAGGAAACTCTTCAAACTGGGTCTTTGACATAGGAAAACAGTCTTGTAATGTTTTTAAAGAGGCGGAGACACTCCCCACACACAAGGGCAGAGTGTCCTCGCCCTGCTGTAAGTGTTTTAGCAGCTGTGGAGACTTTCAACAGGACGGACTCACTGCAGCAGAGAACCACGTGCCAGAACTTGGCTGTGCATTATGGAGACACAGGAGCTTGTGGCCCAGCGAGGAGTGGTTCAGCGCCTTCTCACAGCTGCGCCCATAAACTCGCCTGTGATTTCTCAGCCTTGGCTACACACCGTGGTACCTCTTAGGAAATCATGTGTCTTGATTTTGATCTCTTTATGTGCCAGGGTGAAATGCTATGAAGGAATCCAGGCACACAACACACCATCTCCGTTCCCTTAAGAAATGGGGGAAAAGATCCAACGTTCACATCTTTGAAAGTTGGGAGGTTAAATCTGTATCCACAGTTAGGATCACCTCCACACACAGTGAAGAGCAATATAGCATATATTTGCTTTTTTCCTCACTGTGCAGGGACTTCTTTTATCAGAGATATCCAATGTACTTTGCCTTAAAATTCTACATTCACAAACCTTTGCACACAGCAACTCCAAACAATTATGTTTTATATAGAGCAAGAGAAATTGAGACCATAGGAATCAAAAGTTGTTTGAAAGGAGCTATTTGTTCCCTTCCTCTGGGCAAGATAAAATCCCAATGGACATTTTGTCATTTAAGGATTTTGAGCATTGTTAACAAGCAAGCATGGCAGCCTATGACAAGAAATAGTTCCGTGGATAAAGTGCTTACTGTGAATGTGCCGCATACAGTACTTTAATTTTATGAAACTGTTAAGAATTTATAGCACAGAGTTTTCCTTCATGATACAGTGTATTAATAATTCTGATTCAATGAAAGCTCTGCTGCTATTTCATTTAACAAAAGAAGATGACATGTATTTATGATAGAAAATTAAATGTGCATCTATTTTATAAATAAGTTTCAAAGGGTCCACTTAATGCAGTAAAGTTTGAATGTGCACCTACTGTGGGAAAGCATTCATTTATCCTGTGAATGCCGTTGTAGATTTGGCCTACGGTTTTTGTCTCCAAATACCTACAAGTATAGTTGACAAAGCATATTTTTGCTACAGAGGTGCTCTCGATATTCATGTTTAGATGGTTTTTCTAACCCACCAAAACAATGTAATTTTTTGCAAAGGAATCTATGAGGAGTTTGTGTGCCACTGGGGCTTGGATGCTAACAGGAGTGATTCAGAAAGCATGTGAGCCTTGAATTTCCTCCCTGTATGCCACAAAATTAACACTGTTTGGTCAATGACAGAATACAATAAAACTACATACTTTTTCCCATCCATGTGGGCAAACAAAATAACACATGCGGAGTTACTTCTCTTAAATATCTGGCCAGGCATATGTTTGGTTGTTAGAAATTTTTTGACTTGGTTAAGACAAAATTTAGCCAAATGTTAAAGCATGGAAAATGTTGGTGTAGGCAAAGCAAATATTCTGAGAAAGCTTTACAATCACCCCAGCACACAAACGTTGACATCTTACCATTCTGTTTCATGCAGTCTGTTCCTGGGAGCGAGCGCTAGCTTTGACCCTTCTGTGCTGTGGGTGAGTTTTATGTGCAAGGGGAGGGCCTGAGCTATTACTCAGAATTCTGCTTTTAGGTGGGTGGGTTCCTGCGCTTGCATGGGAGAATTTCAGTCCCACTAGGGGCATCCTGTCTCAGCATACACTGTATCTATGTAGTTTATAGCAAATCTTCACACTTGTTCGGAAGGCGTTTCTGTTCTAGGATTTTACTAGTGTACTGTGATTTGTGTGAACTATGTGTTTCAAAGGTTGTGTAAACTCAGGGTGTGTCACACAGATCTTTCTCTTCCTCCTGTGAATTGCTCTACCTCAGAATGAACTTCTCCTCGATGGCGACTCTTGGAGATTACGTAAATGCAGCTTTTCACGAGGCTGGCTTTTTAAATGCGCAGCCGGTGGGGTGAGATGGCTCTATTGGATCTGTCTGTCTTGCTTCTGCTTCTTAGAGCAAGCCATCATGAGAGGGTTAAGACATGTTACTGCAGCGATTATCAGCAGGCCAGCCATCTACCTTTGGTACTTACAGGAATTTTATGACTCTTGATCATATTATCAAATTCTTCATTAATTTTTTTGTATTTTTCTTCAGTGCGTGGGGTGAGTGCATAAGAGGAGTCGGGATCGGGGCTTTCACAGGCTTTGTTTTCTTTCTTGTTCAATGCCTGCCAGGTTCAGAGAAATATCAAGAGTAAAAAAAAAAGGAAGGGCGTTCCGAGTACTTACACACAATCTTTGCCTGCTGATCATTAGATCAATATCTTCGTTAATTTTCCTGTACTTGTCCTCAGACTCAGGGCTGTGACCTACTGAATCGTCCGCATCGGGATCTGGGCTGTCACAGCCATTAAGGCCTTTCTTTCTCAATGTCTGAAATACATAATTTGGAGAGTTCAAACCTAGAGAAAGGCTGTAAGAGACATGCAGGGCTGTTACAGGAATTCAAGCAGTCTGGGGTTTCAGGATATTACATGCTCTATGTATTCCACCAGGGCAAAGAAATCACGGGTAGAAACCCTCAGTCATTTCCAAAGATTGCTTATTACCCACTAAAAAAATAACAGGGAAACTCCTTTTGCAATTAAATTCAGTCCAACGGAAAAAGAATATGAGGGCCCAAGGTTTGTGACATGGAATTCTGAAGCACTTCAAGAAATAGCAAGTGACAAACAATCATAGCAGAATACAGTGAAGACTGGCAAATTACAACATTCTTTCTTCCCACGGAAAAATCAGAAGTCAGGATGTTACACAACGATTTCAGAATCTGTAACAATGACAGAAGTAGAAATGTTGGAAACACAATAGCACACTCCGGTTGGCGCTAAAGGGGTTCTGTCCACACCCCCACCCCGTGCTCTTGACAGCAGAAGGACATAAGGGAGCCTTGCTAGCAGCCCCTCTCGGCATTGATGGAGAACGTTCAGACACCACGCTCACTTGGAGAGTAACTTTTGTTTAGAGTTCTGCAAATGTGAAACTCTATCCTGAAGTTTATAATACTGAGAAGTTATCTTCCTAAACATAGACCGGAGGAAAGGTCAACACAACTGATTTTGGGCTTCGTTATCCTGTGCTGAATAAAGAAGTCAAGCAATACTGCAGATAGGTGGCCGAATCAGTAACCATCAAGCCAGCTAAATTCCTCCGGGTTTCAGCTCGGCAGAAATCGCCCGAGACTGTCTTCTAATACATGAAAGTGAAAAGGCAGTGTCTTATCTTGAAGCTCCTGTCTGCTGGCTGTAGGTCTGGGTCTACTCTCTGCTGTCACAGAAGGATAAGTACTAATATAATATAACACTGTAACAGTTGGAAAAAGTACGAGTCAAGAATTCAGGAATTCTGAGTTTTACTATTTTTTTTCAAGCTGATGGTTGGTTGTCAACTTAATGATACACAATTCGGTTTACAGAGACAATGTTATGCTTTAGAGATCATAAGACTTCTGATTAATCACACAGCTTGCCATGTTAATTATTAATAGACTATCAACATTTCTTAATTTTCTTGGTACTCTCAAAATCGGTTACAAAGAGATGTGTGACTATGTGTCTCTCGTTAAGTGGAAAGTTCAGCAAAGCTCATCTTTATTAAAGACAGAATTCACATATAAATAAAGGAAAAGCTGCAACACAAAGCTAAGGAACTGAAAGCTGAGATAACGCTCCATCTTTAATTCATGCAATTGGGGAAAATAAATAAAACAACAGGAGTTTAAAAGGGAGTGTCAGCCTTCAAAATTTAAACTCCTTATTTCTTATGAATGTGGAACAAAAGTAATATTACGTAAAATTAATTTCTGAGGTGCCAAAGGCTTTTACTTAACATAAAACTAAGAGAGCTACCATTTCTAATACATTGAAGATGCGCTATGAGTCTGTAAATATTTATTAATGTTATAGCAGCACAATATAACAAATAAACATATGGTTACAGCTTATTATGTGGTAAAATGTTTGAATATTAAAATGAATATTTTGACACAAGATGATAAAATATACATTTACAATCTTATAATTGGTGGGGCCACCTGTCCCCCTATAATAGACCTACAGCCATCAATTTTATTAATATTCACAATACGTAATAGATACATTCCTCCTGGGGAGCTGGTATATATTATAGCTTGATCAGTTTAATCCCTTTCCTCCCTTCCCTACTTTTTCTTTCTCCTTTCCCAATCCCTTCCCCACCTCCAAAAAGTATGCATATCTCTTTTCTACCATCTCTCCTTTATTTAACTTTTTAAATTTGTTTGTATTTTGGGTTTCTCATGTAAGAGAAATCCAGTATTATTTAACTTTCTGTGTCTGACTTACTTGGCTTAACATTATGGACTTAAGAGCCCGCCATTTTTCTGAAAATGACACAATTTTTTCCCCTTCTTCATGATACAACCATCATTTCTGGCCCAGAATAAGAATGCATAGAAGGTTCCCATAGTAATATATAAGGAACATCTCAGTACCTCAGACTAACAATTACTTTTACTAACTTCATGTATTTTCAGCTCTTTTTTTAACATTATCACATACATGAGTGCATTCCTCTGGGTGACAGCTATTTGCCATATTATCATGTGTTTCTGTTTTGAGCTCTGCAGATTCTTGAGCTGCTAAGAAAAATTTCTGAGTGTCTTGCATCATATTCCAGATATTTTTCATAAGAATTCACCTATGTGAAAAAATTAGGTAAGACCAAGAAATGTATATAGGTATATATTTGATGCATATGTGTATATGTTTCATATGTGTGTATATATATTTCATATATGTGCATATATGTGTGTGTATAAATATGTATTTTGAAGGTTATTTACATATGTTTCAATCAGGCATGCTAAGATACTCTTATTTAAAGTCTTATATAATGCTAATTTAGAGTTGCAGTAAAGTGTTGATTTTTCAGTGTGTACCAAGTCGCTTATTCAATAAATCTTATTGTAAAAACGATACTTGTTTTGATATGCAGATTTCTGACAACAGAACGCAAGGGTTAGGAGAGGCCTATCAACTGTCATTACAACCCATCTGGCACATACGTGTGTGCTAAATATTCTTACCAAGCTTTCGGGGGGTAGATATTGTGTTTGGTTTATAAAAATTCAAACATCAATTACACTTTATTGAAAGATCTCTACAAATATTAACTCATTATCTCTCACAAGTCCTTTATGAGAAGCTTAGAGAAATGTTATTCCATATCTCAAGTCGGCACGGCCAGTCATGACTTGGCCTGGGGACAATTCAGGGCCCACCTTTCTCTGTCCAAGCTTTCTTTTTTTTTTTTGTTTTTGTTTTTGTTTTTTTTCCGGTACCGGGAATCAAACTCATGACCTTGAGCTTGCCAGGCAAGCACTGTGCCGCTGAGCTAAATCCCCAGCCCCTGTCCAAGCTTTCTTATACTTGTGCTGTGAGCCTCACAGATAGAGCTTTCCCGGTCATGTTCAACTACAGCAGTTGATCGAATATTGGGCAACAGAGAGTAAATTTTTTAAACATCAGTCTGTGGAAAAATTTTAAGTATGAATAAATGCGTAAAATATTGATATTTCTTACGCACCAGAGTTTTGACAAGAGTGGAGATGTCCAGTGGTCAAAGAAATACTTAGTTCTTGAAATAGAAAGCTAGTCAGATCGACAGTTCACTTCATACCTGAAGAACTGCATAAACTGTTAAGCAAACAGAGCAGGAGGTGCAGAGTCGCAAAGGAAGTGGTAATGATGAGCAAAGAAAATAGCGGCTCGTTTTCTCCCAATAAATCCTCCTCGTCTCTGACGGCATTATCTTGTAATAAATATCACCAGTTTTAAATAATGATTCGAGTTAAACGGTGTTATTTTACAAAGGGCTTTTTGAGATATACAAACACAAAACCCAAGAGCAAATTAATAGTGGGCTCCAAATTCCCATAATCACATAACCAGAACACTGAGAAAATTGTTCAAAAATATTATCCTCAGCTGAGTGCTCGTATAACACATTTCTGCCAAGGACAAATGATTATGGTGGAACTGCAGCGCTCTGAAAATGGAAAGGATGGCACAAACTTGAATATCGTAGCCTGAATGTGGGACTCTTAGAGCAGTTTTGTCTTTATTATATTAAAAATCTACAGCTGTTTAATGATGACAAAGGAATTACGGTTAGATTCAGCCAAGTTTGTCTATTCACAGTAATGAATACTCGATATGAACTAAAAGGCTTATGAAATGGATAAATAAGCATTATTCCTTCAGGTCTTTTTCTAGCAAAATCAAAATCTCTGCCGCTGGCTTTTGAAAACTTTTCTGATCCTTTACAAATGTCATTGGTCAGGTCATAAAAGCTCTTAAATTATTATTCTATAATACCAGCTAGAGGTCCTGGAGATATATATATATATTCTAAAAATAAGATAAATGTTTAAATTTAAAAGGAATGACATTGCCATCACCTCCTCTCTTCAAATGCACTTATCCCATCATCCTGGTCACTCTGAAGCAATTCTGGAAGTCCTCTTTAGTGCGTAGTCCTCTTTGACTGCACTGTTCTGGCTGCCTGCATGTCCCAAATCCATTCAAAGTGTGCATCTTTCATGGTCATTTTGACTTTGTGGAAGAACCAGCAGTCACATGGTGTCAGAACCCATCAATAAAGTTGATGAAGGCACACTGTAATATTTTAATGAGCCTGCTTTGCCATTGGATGGTGCTGGGCAACAACTCTACTTTTGATCATATCTCATAAAGACATGGAAGAGGACTTCCTGAGCTGCTTCCCAAAGTGGCAGGAATGGTGGGATGTGTGTGTCTGAAGTGAACAGGAGAGTTGTGAAAGGGATTAATGACAATAGGTGTTTCACTACAATCAATTTTTAAAAAAAATTTAAACATCTGCCATACATTTTGATCAGTGTGTGTGTGTATGTGTGTGTGTGTGTGTTCTATGCTTTTGGCTTTGTTTTTGGTACTGGGAATTGAATCAGGACCTTGCGCTTGCCAGGCAGGTGCTTGTGCTGCTGAGCTGTATCCCTGGCTCTGTGTCTATATTTTAAATGCCTCTCAACTGATCATGTTTGAAAAATATTTATTCTGTATGTCAAGATCAGTCAAGAAACCTACTGGAACCCCCAGCTTCTCTTGCTGTTTCTGCAGAACTCTTCCCTCAGAGAACTCTTAGTCTTCAGTGGGCTGGTAGACTGAAGCCATCTTGACACTTGAGAGCAACGCTTTTGGGCTGGCTCAGTGGGCTGCAGGGCTTCTTGGGCATACTCATACTGTACCCACAGCAGTACTCTGAGCTGGGAACAGCCACTCTTGGGGAAGTAATTAGGTTGACAGAAGGCGACATACTCTGAACAACAAATGGGAGAAGGAGTCCAGATAGGT